GGTGCCACCCACTGTGGAGTATATAAATTGTATTAGAGGGCCCTAGTTAGACAGAGCATTACTTTGAATCCAACACCATGTATTGTTCTGCTCTCCCTGCATGGAGGTCTAGCTACATGCTTGTATAATAAACATTTACTTTTCAATCTGGCTTCAGCAGTCAAAATGTTACTGAAACACATGAGTTTTGGGTTTCCCCGTCAGACCCTGATTTACTAATGTGCATAGACACATTTCTGTGGGATAAAGTCCACTTTTCATTAGAGTCTGTCTACTTTTAGACGGCAAAGACATTTACTAAAGAAAGAGTCTAACAAGTAGACTTGAAAGCGAATTTACTAACTAGGCACAATCCAGGAATCAGTCTAAGAAAGCAGACGTCCTAGAAGCACATCTAACAAAATGAAAAATCACTGCAGAAACATGTTCACATTGAAATTTGCTTTCCCAAATATCTGAACTTCACTTTAAACAATATATTACATTTCAAAAACTTTTCAATGGGTAAAAAATAGTTTTTCAAGGGAATGCATGACAGTCAAGAACTAGACGCTTTTCCAATGTCTATGCGGGGATATAAATGCGCATGTGCAGGACACAATTTAGCCATCTGCCGTGGGCGCTTTCTTTGTAGACCCTGTTTAATAGTAAATCTCTGTGAGGAGTCCTCTGACAGACAGCACTGGATCGCGTCTACTGTGTTTAACAAACAGCACTATTTGTAGCCAGGCATATCTTTATGTATTCTGATTGGATATCCTTAGTTCTGTTGATTCTGTTGTTGTTTCTTATCCTTTATAATTATTTCTGTAATGGTTTTACATATTTCAAAGATCTAGATAAAATATATTTTGGCAGCTGAATCTAAAAAGAAAGGTCGGCAATAAAAAAAAAAAAAAAAGTGTGGGCTCCCCCTTCTCATCCATACCAAGCCCATCGGGTCTGGTATGGATCTTGAGGGGAAGCCCCACGCCAAAATGAAAAAAAAAATGATGTGGGGTCCCACCAAATCCATACCAGACCCTTATCCAAGAATGCAGCCCGGCATGTCAGGAAAGGGGGGGATGAGCGAGCGCCCCTCCCCCTCCTAAACCATACCAGGCCACATGCCCTCAATATGGGGGGTGCTTTGGGGCAGGGGGGCTCTCCCCCCCAAAGCACCTTATCCCCATGTTGATGGGGATAAGGGCCTCTTCCTCACAACCCTAGCCAGTGGTTGTGGGGGTCTGCAGACGGGGGGCCTATCAGAATCCGGAAGCCCCCTTTAACAAGGGGAACCCCAGATCCCAGCCCACCCATGTGAATGAGTATGGGGTACATGGGGTTGGGTCATGGTACATTGGTATGAATGGGAGGGGGCACGCCTTTTTTTATTTATTATGGTGCTGGTTTTTAAATTTAATAATCGCTTTTTTTTTTCTTCACTATAGCTCAGAAATTCAGTTGTCACTTTCCCCCAGCTAAAAGAAAAGTTTTCTTTGAGTTTATTTCCCTAAAGGAAACAATGTTTACTTTTACTTTCTTAAAAGAAACAAAGTTTCCTGTAACTCTGGGGAAAGTGACAGCTAAGCTTGTAAACTATAGTGAAGAGAAAAAAAAGGCTGGCAATTGCTTTTAAAAATTAGCGCCGCATATACAGTACTTCTTATTGCAAAACAAATTATTAACAATTGTGTAAACCGAGGCATTATTTTCAATGCATTTTCATTCGTAAACCATAACTTATGTTAACTGAGGCGTTTGTAAACTGAGGTACGCCTGTATTAGTAATGCAATCCTTTGTATTGGGATACATAGAACCAACATACATCTGAACTGGCAACATAGCACAACATTTGTGTCACATTTGAGATATCTGGCTAATTACACTGACCTTGCTCAGGGACTTAGGGTTGATTCACACCACAGAAATAGAGGCTGGATGGGTGTCACAGCTCAGCGAATAAGCTTAGCACTGCTGCCTCACAGCACTAGGGTTGTCAGTTTGATTCACAACCGTGGCAATGAAGTTGCATGTTCTCCCTGGGCAGCTACCCTAACATAGTTGTGCTGGTGGCAGCATCTTTGCTTTCTGTCTAAATGATCCCTAGAATGTGAATTAGAATGAGGCCTTGTCTGTTAAAACACCTTCAAAGTTGCACCTTATATGAATGTCAAAAGATGGGATGAGATAAGGGCCTGGACTAATGATTGCGTTGATATTGCTGGTTTGCACTCCGCCCCCTTTTGGGAAGGGTTTGTCGAGCTGAGAGAGAGAGAGAGAAGAGCGAGAGAGAAGAATGAGGGAGAGAGAGAAAAGGATTTGGAGGGGAATCCCCATGCCAAAATTTAATAAAATAATGGCGTTGAGTCCCCCCCCCCCCCCAAATCCATAACAGACCCTTATCTGAGCATGCATATACCGCATGCCCTCAAAGATTTATTTCCTTTGTTGAATTGCCTGCTTGGGACACACTAGATGCGATTAAAAAATGCACTTTTTGTTGGCAATTTCACCGTGTTTTCTGTAGATTTCCCAACGAGTTATTGCGTTTTCAATTGTGTTTTGCATTGCGATTTCTATTGTAGTCTATATGTGAAATCGCTACAAAATGCAGAAAAAGTTAGATAAGAACTACTTTTGAAATTGTGCTGCAGCAAATTGTGTATGTTGAGACACTCACATTCACATTCATTAGATCCGATATCAGGTACGATTTCAATTCCCAAATCGCACCTGAAATCACGCACCCTGGATGCGACTTGGCGTGCAACTTGCAAATTGCATGCCAAATTGCACCCGATGTGACCGGGGGCTAACACCACAATCACATCTAATCCGATTTGGAAATCGGGCAATTTACAGTGAAGTTGCATGATTTCAAAATCAAATTGGATGTGAACGGAGAATATAGCGGACAATAGGTTGTGACTTGGCCTATGATTTGCAAGTCACCTGGCATGCAAATCGCATGCCAAATTGCACCTGATGTGACTGGGGGCCACCCCGGTCACATCAAAGCAGATTTTGAAGTGGTGCGACTTACAGTGAAGTCGCACGATTTCAACATTGGATTTGATGTGAACGGAGCCTATAGAGGACAATAGGTTGTGACTTGGCCTATGATTTGCAAGTTGCTTGGCATGCAACTCGCATGCCAAATCGCCACCCCGGTCACATCAAAGCAGATTTTGAAATCGTGCGACTTACACCACGGTCACATCAAGCCCAACTTTTAAAGCATGTGACTTACAGTGAAGTTGCATGATTTCAAAGTTGGGGGACATGCCAATTTCAAGTGCGATTTGCAAGACATCTGACACAGATCTCTCTGCAAATTGAACCAAAAGTAGTGTGTTCACTTCTTTATAAATCGTTGCTGGCTCCAACCAAGTTTGAACCATACCAATATCAACACTCTAATAGCGGTCATATCGAGTGCAACTTTGCATGCAATTTGCATGACATGCAACTTGCAAATCCTATGCCAAATTGCTATTAGAGCAGTCACATGGGTGCGTTTTCGACACCGATTTCTAAAGTAGTACATGTACTACTTTTGTGGCGATTTGCATAGACATCTGTGTCAGATGTCTTGCAAATCACAAGGAAATTGGCAACTTCACTGTAAGTCACATGATTTCCAAATCGGCTTTGCTATGACCGGGGTGGAAGGTCTTTTTATGTTTGATTTCATGAGTGTTTTTCCGATTTATGGGAAATCCCGCATAATAGCAAAAGTGAATTGACATTTTCAGTATTGCATGCAAGATGTGGTCATGTAACTGCCTTAAGTCATGCGATAATCTGGAGTGAATTGTGCCCATAATGCCAATAAATGTTGCCAGTGGGGTTCCCCTTCATATCCCTAATCAATGTTCTGATGTATGCTGCACAGGTACACTTCACTGTTGCTTTATTTCTGACTCTGATTTGTGGGCCTGTATACCAAAGGTTAATGCAGGTGGGAAGAGGATTGGTGCTGGATAATCAAGTGCAATCACTTTCTCTGACCAAATGAATGATAGTGGTGGGTGTGGCCTTCATTGGGGGTGGGGCCTTGTTTGGCGTGCTCCAAATCCAACCTATGTTATATAAAGACCTGCAGTAGTGGGTTATTTTCAGCAAGTTCTTGTCTGTGGTGGTTTGGGGGGGAGGAAGAAGAGATATTGTGCTGAATTGCTCCAGATCCCACTCAGGCTGTGTTTTGATGTGGGCTGTAAATGTTTTGCATTTTTTTTTTCCTTCTAAAGTGTGTTATTGTACAATGATTGTGTGTGTTTATTATCTTTGCATTGTAATCTTAACACATTTCAATTGCTCTGCTCCTCTAAATCTGCACTTGGCTATAGTTTGCTTATTTAAACTGAAATGCAGTTTTAAGACAAACCTGATGAGAAATGTATGTGTGGGGGATTTGGGGAGGTGCGTTTGTTATTTTGGTACTTTATATATTTTTATATTGATATTTTGATCTGCAGCCTGTTTTGTGGATACATAATCCTACTAAGTGATGGTGTGTGTTAATTTTATGGCCCTGAAAATGTTGTTTGATTCATATTAACTGTTTGTTTCCTGCTATAACCTATGAAAGCATAGTTCATTAGAAGTAAGTTCTTTAGATTGTAAGCTCTTATGAGCAGGACTGTTCTATTTTAGCAACATCAATCCTGCTTTTGTTTTTCCCACCAAGAAGTTGACTGTACCTACTTGTTGCTGCTGTCCAAATAAATGTGGAATATGTATTTGATCAATAAATGTTTGGACTATGTATTTTTTGGGTGGGTTATTTCATGTTCAATTTCAATATACTAGCATTTTTTTTCAAAAGTTTTTGACTTTTTCATTTACCTTATTTTTTGCTCCATAAGACGCACCTGACCATAAGACGTGCCTAGGTTATAGAGGAGAAAAACAAGAAAAAAAAAATATTCTGAACCAATGGGCTGCATACACAGTACAGGAGATGACCAGAGACTGAGGACACAGTACAGGAGATGATCATAGACTGAGGACACAGTACAGGAGATGATCAGAGACTGCGGACACAGTACAGGGGATGACCAGAGACTGTGGACACAGTACAGGGGATGACCAGAGACTGCGTACACAGTACAGGGGAAGACCAGAGACTGCGGACACAGTACAGGGGATGACCAGAGACTGCGGACATAGTACAGGAGATGACGAGAGACTGCGGACATAGTACAGGAGATGACCAGAGACTGCGACATAGTAGGGAGATGACCGGAGACTGCGGACATAGTCCAGGAGATGACCGGAGACTGCGGACACAGTACAGAGATGACCAGAGACTGTGGACATAGTAGAGGAGATGACCAGAGACTGCGGACATAGTCCAGGAGATGACGGAGACTGCGGACACAGTACAGAGGATGACCAGAGACTGCGGACACAGTACAGGAGATGACCAGAGACTGTGGACATAGTACAGGAGATGACCAGAGATTGCGGACATAGTCCAGGAGATGACCAGAGACTGCGGACACAGTACAGGAGATGACCAGAGACTGCGGACATAGTACAGGGGATGACCAGAGACTGTTGACATAGTACAGATGACCAGAGACTGCAGACAGTGCAGGGGATGACCAGAGACTGCAGACAGTAAAGGGGATGACCAGAGACTGCAGACCTTTGGGGAGGGAGGGGGAGCTGGTACCTGAATTTGACAGGTACCCTCTCCCACTTCTGCTGAGTTGTCCTTCCTTCTTCTTACTGAGCCAGCTTCTGTAACAGCCGGGTGCCACTGCGCATTCGGGAGAAGCGCTGCGCTTTGTGAATGGCCCGGAGCCTTTTGGGACCTGTCATGTGTCCCAGAAGATGCCGGACCATTCACAAAGCGCAGCGCTTCTCGCGCATGCGCAGTGGGCACCTGGCTGTCACAGAAGCCGGCGCTGGAAGACTGTACAGTGCTGGAGCGAGGAACAGGTAAGGTCCTGCAGGGGAGAAGAGCTGAGCGGCCGGCCCGATATTCTGACGTGGTGGCAGAAATACCGGACCAGCTGCTTTATATTCGCTCCATAAGACGCACTCACATTTTCCCCCCTTTTTGGAAAAATACGGTATATAGCAAAAAAAATAAAAATCCCAGCGGTGAATAAATACCACCAAAATAAATCTTTATCTGTCTCAAAAGAATGCTAAAAAATTCATATGGGTACAGTGTTTGCATGACCATGCAATTTTCATTCAAAATGTGATAGCGCTGAAAGCTGAAAATTGGCCTGGACAGGAAGGGGGCAAAAGTGTCCGGACTTGAAGTGGTTAATACTATAAAATTATATGATTATTTGTGTAAGCCTCTGAGAAATGGTTTAACAAGATCATAGTTCTTAATCAGGAAAACATAAATAATTCATATAATAATTCATAATAAACAGTTTTTCTAATGCAAGTATTGTCCAAAAGGTAAACCCACACAGCATGAACTACATTCAGGCAGTGGGCAACTGCCTGAATGTACATTCAGGCAGTGTAGAGATATTTCCTTCTGGGACTAAAGAACAATGTCCCTGCTGAGGTAAAAAGCTGAAACCACCTTAGGATGGAAATGTCCAGGACAGACTCACCCCTTTGTTTAACAAAAAGACTTTTGCTGATCAAAACAAAAATGTATTTACCACATATGGGAGAACAATAAAGCAAGCTATCCTTCTGGAGATTTTTCTTCTGTGCACAAAACTCCTTTGTTGTCCTTTTGGCTGAAATCCAGATAAGGCACATGTCCCTGATTGACCAGTAGATATGAACTACCATATGACTAGATAATGATATTACAGAGGCATAAAGTAAAGGTCATTTCAACTGTCATTTTAACTGTATGGCAGACGAACATGCCTGTCACATGACCGGATATGAGAAAGACATGTCAGTCTGCAAGTCAGAAGATGGAGTCTTAGCAAAATGTCAGAAATAATCAGAATGGCAGTGATAATTTCTTAAGCAATAATACTCTCTCATATGTGAGGACAAAAGCCTTGTAAATATTCATAAGTTTCAGCTTATACAAACTCCACATCAGGAATGATGCTCTAGGCCAGGGGTTTCCAAGCAGCGGGGACTATCCCCAAAACCCTGTGGAAGACGGGTCCAGGTCAACTGACCACCGTCCCATTGGAAAGCGAACATATTCTGCGTTATTTAATTCTACCGGAATGCTAAAAAAGCATTAGAAAGATCTATTACAGTGTAGAACCTGGAGGTGTTGGGAATTGCTCCAAAAATTGCTGTAATGTCTGCCACCAGGGATGGTAGAGGAACAATTGTCTTATTTACCTTCCTGAGATCCTGGACTAGCCTCCATGTACCGTTTGCCTTTTTTACTGGATTAATGCGGCTATTCCAAGAACTTATTGTTGGTCTGAGAACACCCATTTCTAGGTAAATTTGTATAGCTGGTCTTATGCCTTCTATCTTCTCCTCAGTTATGGGATATTGTTTCTGGAAGCAAGGCATTATACCTTCCTTCAAATTTGGCTTGTAAGGGGTGCAATTCACGAAGCCGACTGCAGTCTTATCCTCCGCCCAAATTGGGTGGGAAGTCAGGTCATTCGGTAAAAGTGTATACTATCCTGCATTGTCCCTTCTTTTTGGGTTAGTTAGTTCACACATCAGAGATTTGGCTGTCAGTCTTCCTTGATTGTCAAATGTTATACTGATCATGAGTTCAGACATGAGTTCCCGACCCATCAACGCAACCGGACACATGGGCAGGACAGCAAAGGTCATTTTCGCGATGGATGTGCCTGACAGGCCTCCGTTCAGAACATGGAGAAGTGTCAGAACTACCCGCACCACACTTGCCTAAAGGGTGGGTGGTCTGTTGTGGCCTCTGGTGCCACAGTACAATTCCATTCCCAGATGACCCAGCATCCAGGGGATGGTGTACTCTTGTCAAGCTGTTTCCATATATGAGTAGCATTAAGGGTAGTATGGTTTCCATGGGACCAGCCCAGGGAACCATACAGTTCAACAGACCTAAAAGGGCCTTGACCAGTTCAGGGGAAAAATTTTATGAGTATTCTGGGGCCAGAAGGTATTGCTGTGTTAATGGTACGCCTAGATGCTTTTGCTGACATCATTGAAAGGTGGATTAATGTCACTAACAAGGATGTCAAACTAATCAATGAGGAAATGCGAAAGATGAGGATGGAGCAAGAGGTCATTAAGCAACGGCAGGAGAAGATTATGATGGCAGTAACTGGAATTTGTGACCAAACTAACAATAAGCAAATCTGTTGTGTCTATTTCAATAATTTTACTAAAGAAACAATGGATATAGAGGTTCCAGACTATTACGATATCATAAATGGCCACAATGAAGAACGGGAAAGATTGGCAGGGGAGCTACGCAGTTTACCAGACTCTTGGAATCCTTTTGACTCCATTGGGGGATGGTTTGGAGACCTTTTTGGTGGCATCTTTAGTTTCTTTAAGAAAGCAGGGATAGTAATCCTTATGGTAATAGTGTTTCTTATATCCATATACATAAAATTTGCTATATGGGGAGTTGGTAAGACCATGAAATTGAGTGCCAAGCCCAACATTCCAGACCCCACCTCTCCAAATACCGAATCTAAACTTGCCCTAATTGAGAAATCCAAAAAGGAGATGTGGTTTTCTGGGTGATCATGTTGAACAAGGGTTCAATATGATCAAAGAGGGGATTGTGGGAAAATATAGATAACTATGCTCAACACGCAGTAGATATTAGCTAAGGTATAACCATTCTCAGTTTACTTAAGAGATAAGAGTTAGAGTAATGACCTAAGAGAATAAGTAAAATAAATATCAGCACTGCTTTTAAGCTTATGGAAAAGTTTAGAATGTGTATGTGACATACTGTGTAACCACATTTGCAGGTGTTTGAAAACTGTTTTGCAGGTATTTCGCAGAAAATATAGATTGTTACTGAGATATGACATCCTGGTGCATAAACACAAATACAAATGTACAGACTGTGGTCTTAGTTATTTTAGGTAGTTGATCTTTGTCTAGTATCTAGGTAAGAAAGTAAGATAAGCTTTACTATTGGATAATAGAAGGGGAGTATTTGTGGTTTTTTGCAATATAAGCTCAAATGTGCGTAATAAACTTTGCAATCTTGTTGTATCCCACCTGTGTGTTGGTTACCTTGATTGTCCGATCGATCGAGCCCGAGACACACCCAGATGCTGCGCAGCACAAAGAATAACAAGAAATAAGAAAGGGCAGATTCCTTTCAGATTCACTTTCTAAACAAAGGGCCAGTTTACTGTCCTTCAGACTTTACCGGGCCCGACTGTGGCCTTGGGAGCAGAAATTGTCCTGACATCAGTGACAGTAAACTGTGCAGCTTTTCCATTAAGGGAGGAATAGTGCACCATCATTGGTATAGGTAGGAGGAATAGTGCCCCATCGTTGGTGTCAACATGAGGAATAGTTCCCCATCGTAGGTGTCAGTGGGAGGAATAGTGCACCATTGTTGGTGTAAGTGGGAGGAATAGTGCCCCATCGTTGGTGTCAATGGGAGAAATAGTGCACCATCGTTGGTGTCAATATGAGGAATAGTGCCCCATCATTGGTGTCAGTGGGAGGAATAGTGCCCCATCAATTTTGTCAATGGGAGGAATAGTGCCCCATCATTTTTGTCAATGGGAGGAATAGTGCCCCATCATTGGTGTCAATGGGAGGAATAGTGCCCCGTTGCTGATGTCAGTGACAGGAATTATGCCCCATTCTTAATGTCAGTGGGATTAATAGCGTCTTGCATCAGATGGAGAAAAAGCACCCCAAGGGCCAGATAAAGGCAAGCAAAGGGTCACATCTGGCTCCCAAGCTACAGTTTGGAGACCACTGCTGTAGGCCTAATACCACCTTTATCAGGGTCCAGATCTGAAACAGCGACCTCTGTAGTGTCTGGCTGTGCCACCTGAGCTGCTGGGCAGCTCACTGTCTGATCCCTTGGGCAATTTTGCTTTGTCTATTGTTTATGGTGAACCTTGAACTCGTTTCTCCTCCTATGAACTTCTTGATTTAAAGCAGAGCACCACCCAAAAGGTGAAGTTTAACTTTAAGTCCCCCCTTCCCCAAATGGGACTTTTTATTGGGGGGTCAGGTACCTGACCGCCTAGGCAAATCAAAACCGATGCTCTCCCATCCCTTCCCCTCTTTGCAGTCTTCTGGGACACATGACAGGTCCCAGAAGACTGCAGAACCATGTACAATGTGCAGCGCAGCTAGCACATGCACAGTGGGCACCTGGCTGTGAAGCCCCAAGCTGTCACAGCCGGGTACCCACAGTTGAGATGCCAGCACTGGGGACAGAAGACAGTGGAAAGGAACAGCTCGAGTGAGCACACTGCTAGATCCTTGGAAGGTGAATGTCTGTTTATTAAAAGTCTCCAACTACAGATTTTGTAGCTGCTGACTCTTAATAAACACAAATGGCTGGAACTTTGCTTTAAGCCATGTCTCCTGTTTTTGCAGATTATTGTGCTCTCACCAGCAGATATCTTGTTCCTTTGCTTATCTACAGCTGTCCTCA